AAACATGCCTGGACCTAAAAGTGCACCTCCACAACTTTTATCCAAAATTGTAAATTTTCCAAGCCCAGAAAAAACAGTAATAACGGTAGAACCACCAGCTAGTGGAAGCGAAGAAAGTTCTGACGAAGAAGAAAACAATGCGATGAACTTAAGCAGAAAACAAGTAGCTCAAGATTTAGAAAATTCTATATCGCGTTTTGATCAATCCTTAAAACAACATGAAGATTGGTTAATGGACTCACCACAATCTCCCAGAGATTGGATCGTACACTCTGACGGAAATAATGACGAGACCATTCATAAAGCAGCTAATGAATTGATTCCCGGAGATCATTCAGAATTCTCACAAAAATTGGATTTATATTGGGATTATGCTAAAGGTGAATCCATATGGGAGAATAATGAAATAGACAGAGGTCTCGATAAGGAAACTTCAATCAAAGAAATTATAGAACCAGAGCAATCAATACATCAAACACCACAGAAAAATAAAATAAACAAAAGTAAGCTCAAGAATGTTACTTTCAGACCCTCAACATCAGAACCCAACACACCCGTATTTTTCAAAACTCCAAAAGCTATGTCAACACCATATCACACTTCATTGCATGAAACTGATGTCGACACAGATGAAGAAGATGAAGAAACCACAGATGATGAAGAAAAAGAAAATGAAGAAAAAGAAAACGAAGAAAAAGAAAACACCGATGATGAAGAAGAAATTGAAGAGAAAGAAAATACAGATATCGAATCAAAAGAATATAATTTTCGATCGAATTCTATGATAACAATACCAATAGAAAGTATTCCTCCAAATTTACCTTCAAGTTATTCTAAAATCACAGAAAAACCTTCAAATATCACAAGCCACAGAGAAAATCTAACTTATCATCGAAATAATTATGTACATTTTCTATCAGCTGATTGTGAGTTTACCACTCCGATAAGCAGACTACTTATAGATATTGCAGTAATAGATCCAGAAGAAATAAAGAATAAAAATCCTATTAAAGGACAAATTCTAGTGACTCCAAGAGGAAGACACAATGTGTATTCTATATTAGTAAAAGACAATTACTACGATCCACTTTTAAAAGAAGACATTATTTCAGGAATGCATAATCTGAAAATCCTTCTTTTCAAGGAAAATACAAAAGAAATAAGAATTTCTCGACACGGAGACTTCACAGACGAACTATTGAGAGGAGAACTAAGACAAATTATAGAATCAGTTTTCTATAATAGCGATATTAATATAACTATTTGTTATGGACAAGTGTCTGTTCCTAAAGAAGAAAATAGAGAAGATATTATTAGCGAATTTCATAAAAGCAAAATAGCAGGACACAAAGGAATAGTAAAAACCTACAGAAGAATCCGTGAAAAATTTGTCTGGCCAAGAATAAAAGAACAAGTAACAGAATTTATAAGAAAATGTCCCACATGCCAAACACAAAAACTAGTTAGAGCAAAGACTAAGGAACCTATGATGATAACTGACACACCCCTAGACGTTTTTGACAAAATTTCATTAGATACGGTTGGCAAGCTTCCTACAACCCCAGACGGAAATTGTCATATCCTCACTATGCAGGACCATTTATCCAAATATTGTATAGCAGTTGCAATTCCAGATATTTCAGCAACTACCATTGCTCATGCTGTTGCAAAAGAATTGTTTTCAGTATACGGTGCCCCAAAAGTAATATTGACCGACAAAGGCACTTCTTTCATTGGCAAATTCATGTCAAAACTATCGAAACTTTTCAAAGTTCAGCAAGTTACGACCTCTGGTTATAGGCCCCAAACAAACGGCGGCTTAGAACGCAGCCATGCCGTTCTAGCAGACTATATAAAACAATACACTAAAGACTATGACGATTGGGACAGATTACTACCCTTTGCAATGTTTGCTTACAACACATCTGTGCATGAAGCTACTAATTTCACCCCATACGAGTTAGTTTTTGGAAAAACTGCTCGTTCTCCTAGTTCTTTTCCTCAAGAAGTTAAATTAGAAACATATGGTTCCTATTTAACTGAACTCATTACCAAATTAAATGAAATAAGAGCACTAGCAGCAAAAAATCTAATAAAAGCCAAAATAAAATCAAAAGAATGGTATGATAAATCTATCAAACCATTCCCAGGAAAAATAGGTGACAAAGCTTATGTTATGAAAGAAGGAATAAAAAGAAAGTTTGACCCTCATTATCACGGTCCGTACAAAATTGTGGATATTCTAAACAAAAATAATGTTATTCTAATAAATGATGATGGACACAGGTTCCAAAAACATGTAGATAAGTTAAAAATTGCACATGAATAACAATAATAACATAATTTTAATTTTTAGATGTCCGAATCCATAATTTTCTCCCCACCACTACAAGGAGAATTGGTACCAGCTTTCACGTTTCCAAAAGGAAACATAGACAACATATCATACCCAAAAGGAATACTTGAGGAATTAACAGCAGAATACAACCTTAATAAACCCAATTATATAATTGACAAAACTACAGGACCCAATTTTAATAAATTGTGGCAAGTGAAGTGCACAGTAACAGACAATAAGAACAATAACATGTTTGTTGCAACTGGAAATGGGTGCAGAACAATTAGAGAATCGGAACATTCAGCAGCCAAAATAATCCTTAAAAAATTATTTGATACTTATTTCTTTAGCGAGGAAGAAAAACCTAAAAACTTAAAACATAGAATATACGTAATGTCCAGCGAAGATGCCTCTTTAATTAAATTAAAAATGTTTAAATGGGAAAACTGTTGTGAATATTGCTATAGAAGAGGTCAATTACAAAATTGATTTTAATTAACAGTTATTTAAATAAACCATATGAAATATTTAACAATTATCAATAATTTAACTGTTAATAAAAAATCAAACTAAAAATACATATATATATTCAATTAGTTATAAAATATTATAAATATCCTATTCTACTTATATATAATTAATCATATTAAATACATTTTAACACTATTACATAAATAAAACATATGTAAACAAAAAAAAAAAAAAATAATAATAAATAAATAAATAAAAAAAAAACAAACAAACTTTAAAACAAGGACGAAAGAAAATGAAGGAAGGGGATTTGGCGGTCGCCTTCTTCTTTCCTCCTTATTTTATGTAAAAAAAAAAGAGAGAGATCCTATTTTTATCTTTCATATAATAAAAATCTAATAAAATAAATAAATAAACATATAAAATTTTAACTAAATAAAATTTAAGTTAACTAATAATTAAAAGTTATAATTAAAAAAAAATCACAAAAATACACTCATTTAAAACTATTTATATAAACAACACAAAAAAAAAAATTTTATGTCAAAATAACAATTACTAAAATAAATGTGTTTTCAGATGGAAATTCCTGTTTTGAGTTGGATCTTAAATGCCAAAGACTACATCACAACAATTAAAGACGGTTTTATACTATTCTTTCAGCTACTCTTGCTAATAATAATCATCATCATAGTAAGAAAACTATACTTGTGTTACCTATTAATAATCACAAGATGGAAAAGAAGAAGAAACCAAATACAAACAACACAAAATTAACTAAATAAAAAGAAATCAAATAGCCCGATCATTCCCATACATTCAGGACAATGTAAAATCTAAGGAGGGAGGAAAGGTCTTAAAATCTTTAAAAACTTTGACAATTTTAATCCCAAACAACTAAATAAATGAATAGAGCATAAGGTGGCACTACTCAAATAAGCGCGCCAACCTTAAGCTCACTCATCGATTGTATATTGACCGTGCTTGGATCACTGTACGCAACGCAGACACACCGCGATGGCCGATTAGTGGTTCCAGTAGAGCACGTGGTCAAAGTATACAATTGCCTCCAGCATGAGAGTACGTCACGCATGTTTCAAAAACTACCATCATGAAAGAGCGGCAAAAAGTTTAAATTTAAAAATTCAAATACCGTTCTTCCATGATAAAGGCAAATGTTGAAAGCTTGCTAAAAAAAAAAAAAAAAAATTATATGAATTTTAATTCAGCTAATCAATTAACATGTTACTAACAAATACGCTTATATACTTATTAGCAAATTATGCTTAAATATTAACCTTAATAAAAAATTAATAAAAAAATAAATAAATAAATAATAATATTTTAATTAGTCAGTTTAATAATTAATTTAATTAACATAATTATAATAAAATTAACTGATTTGAACAAAAAAAAAACTAACGAATAACTATAAAACAATAATTAATTAACAATTATAACTCCATAAACTATTATATTCTATTATTTATTTTATTTATATAATTATATTATTAAAACATATTAATAACTAATTATCTAATAAATCAACAATTTGTAATAATTGTTTAATTAAATTAATTTTAATAATAGTAAGCAAAGAAACAAAAGAAAACATTAATTTCATATATTAAACAATTATTATAAACAAATTGAGCGATTAAAAGGAGCTGTTGTCTAGTCTTGAGTATCAGGCGATTAGGAAGAGTAAGGAGGATACGCGCCGCGTAAGGAGTGGTCAGTCCCATGCCCACTATTCAATGCTCACTCCTCGGATCTTGCGTCTCTCTCCTTACACCGAGCGAAGCTAGAACCATTCGACTCGCTATATCATCGCGCTTGTGTATAGCTTGCGTCACAAACGTCATCCCTGTATGCAAATCATGCTTCTTGAGAGAATATATAACCCTAATAAGAATTCTAATACGAAACCTTCAAATTTCAATTTTTGGACCATAATATATTTGTAAACAGCTTCAGTTTTGAAAAACTGTCATGGTTAATTATTAATTTATTTAAATATTTTAATTTTAATTAATTTTATAATATTGAAGTAAATAGATAAATTAAAAAGGTTTAAAATTAAAATTTTATTTTCAACTTTTAGTAAATTAAAAATTGTAAAATATTGGAATAATATAATTAATCAAAAAATATTGTAAATAAATAAGATAATAATAAGTAGCTTTAAAAGAAAAAGGAGAGATATATGTGTTCAGGTAATATTAAAAACCATAAATTTATGGAAATGTATCAAATTTATTCAAAAAACACTCTTGCATTCATACTATAAAAATCAAGTCATACTGAAATATTTATACTAAAAATTATATATGTATATATGTGTAAAAAAAAAAATAAAGAAGAGGAGTTTTTAAAAACAACAATTTCCACAAACACATAGAGGAAGTTTTAGGGGATCCTCATCTCCACCAGGTGGACATTCTGGCAGTTTATACCACAATGCATTGCTACTGAATAGCGGAGTATTTGTTTCAAAAAGTGAGTCCAATTTCCTTAGTTTAATTTTGGGACAAATTATCTCCCCATCAGATTCACGTTTGACACCTGTAACTGAAATAAACAAACAAATCCAATTAATTTAAAAAGTTTTTTTTGAATCATAACAACAAACACAACGGTAAGGAAATATATATATTCATCAATTGATATTTACCTGTCTGTGGTTCCGACGACGGTCCTGCCTGAGGTTCCCATGAAACACCTGTCTGTGGTTCTGACGACGGTCCTGCCTGAGGTTCCCATGAAACACCTGTCTGTGGTTCCGACGACGGTCCTGCCTGAGGTTCCCATGAAACACCTGTCTGTGGTTCTGACGACGGTCCTGCCTGAGGTTCCCATGAAACACCTGTCTGTGGTTCCGACGACGGTCCTGCCTGTGGTTCCGGTGAAGAGCTGAATTGAGTTTCAACAGGAATTTCCGCAAATCCAGATAAAAAATGTTGTGACATCCCAGACAGTCTCATGCCTTGCACATCAGTAGAAACAAAAAAAAAGAGAGAGAAAAATTTTAATACTATATATAGGTGTATATATAAAATTATAACAGAAAAGGAAAGAAGAGACAAAACTAACTTTCACTTTCCCCCGATGAATGATCAAAAGAATGAAACTCCGATCGAGGAATTTCGACCATAGGAAGTTGACATTCACCACAAAAACATCCTTCCGGACGACCAGCACGACTAAGTATATAAATATATGCATTGATATTAACAAACAAAACAAAAAAAAGAGCGGGCTTTATTATAAATAAAAAGAGAAAGAAAAATTTTAAACTTACAATAAGGAATTGAACATTCTTGTCATCGTTCGAGACTCATCTTTAGCTTCCTTTTTTAATCGGACTAGAGAAGCCTTCCTTGTTTTTGGGTCAATCATAAAATTTGAAGTAGCATCCTTCTTACGTCGACCAGGCTTGCTCATTTCCTCTAGAACGTCAATTTCATCCAAAGAATAAAAATTGACGCTGCTAATCTTTGCAAGGTCAAGAAAAAGGAAACTAAATTTGTCGCACACATTTTTCCATAAGGCACTGTAAAAAAAAAACAACAACAACGACTTTTGAATTAACTTCAAACTAAATAAAAACATGAACGTTAAATAAATTTACTGCACTCACTTTTGTAACAATGAACTCTCCTTCGCAACAAATCAAATACTGAAGACGCCCGATACTTACCACATCACATGGGGATGAAGAGGATGTTGTCAACAATCCATCTCCACTTGAGCATTCCAAAAGCGGTCATTGACTATTCTAAGAAGATGAAAATCATACCTACCTCAAGAAGATAATCATGACACTTTTCACAACATAACACCCATCACACATTATAGCGTATTGTTGATAACGATTCACCAAACTTGTTGTCTTCGTATCATCGATAAGAAAGAGATGTCCGCATTGCTAATGAGCAACGTAATTTCATCAAGAAGAACTAGGGCATTGTATGATAGTCTCAATTTCATATTTCATAACTCCTATAAAGTTACAGACAATTAAAATTGTTATTTCATCGGGACGATGAAAGATTTAAGGAGGGAGGACTGTTACATCCCAGTAACATCCTTATTTCTGCATAATTTTAATTTTTCCAAATTAAGTAAAAATTAATTAAGACATAAAACACAAATATTGTGTATTTTAATTCAAGACTAAATATATAATAATCTATAGATGTAATAACAACAATATCAGTAACTTAAGAGAAATCTGAACAATTCTTGTTGCTGTTAAAACATGAAATTTTGCAAGCCTCAAGAAGCGCGATAAGCAAGCAACGTAGGAATGTTATAGATGAAAGTAGGTGAAAAGCGATGCGCCATGCCAAGGACGAGCGACGCAAGCTCGGGCTTGTAGTATCGTTATCGCGAGATGTTACTCCTAGACAACAGCATGTAATTTGATCTTCACTTTCCATATATGGCATAATTATTAGGTCACTTATGAAGGAATGTGCGCTCCTTCTTCAAAACAACTTATAAATAGAATTAAGACGAACAGTCCTAAATTCCTAGTAGATAACATACTTTACCCCCATAACTAACTACGAATTTTCCCACTTTTTGTCATTTTTAGAGTATATAAGCCAAAGCTTTCTCCACTAAGCTTGTCAAATGTTCCGGTGCGGTTTTATAGACCAATAGTCATTGTAGAGCGACCCTTCAGTTAAATAAAATTTATTGTATTCTTTCTTTAATCGGCAATTCAGTCCGCGTTGTACTCGATTATCGTGCAAGTCTATTTTGTTATTCACTTAGAAACAAGTTTCTTTCCGTAAAAGGTGCAAGAAGAGCAAATTGACACTTAGAATCAATAATTTTAAATGTATTAACTGTCGTATTTTGCGTGTCAAGTTTCATTAATTGTAGCTTTTCACTAATTCTTTCTTTAATCGGCAATTCAGTCCGCGTTGTACTCGATTATTGTGCAAGTTGCTTTTCTCACACTTAGAAACAAGTTTCTTTCCGTAATAGGTGCAAGTGACGATAAGTAACACTTAGAAGCAGTACTAGCTCTTGAAACAAACGCAAAAACCCTAAAGTTGTGAAAGTTACATAAGTGTAACATAACAAACTTTCTTAGTTTCATTCAATTGAAATAACATCTTGAAACCAAACTTATACCGACCAGCGCTATAACCTGTATCCTACGACTAATCTGTAATAAAAGTAAGTAACATTTATGTAACTATTTGTAAACATTATTTGAATATTTAATAAACATTGTTAAAAGGGAATATTATTATTTGTTGTTAACGCAAAACCCGTAGTTTTGACAAGTACAAACGATCCTACTTAAAAATAAAGGTCAAGCTTTACCAACTTGACCATAATCAGCCTACCATTCCTCCAAAATTCTATAACCTAACCTATAAAATTGCCTTCTGCTCGGGATGTAACAAGTTTAAAAAAGATTAAATAATTTCAAAAATGCAAATGGCATCCAAGAGTCTTTAATAATCAGTTTGAAGTCCGACATAACTGTTTCTGGGTATTCAATTTGGATTCCTAAAAGTTGTGCCTTAGATATGACAATTTCAAAAATTTTTGCATATGCATCTTCGGATTTACTTTCACAGCTATTGTTTTCTTTCCTTCATTCAAAATTATCAATTAGTATAATTATCACGTCATTCTATTATAATAAGTATTTCAGTTTTCGATGTTAGATAGAAATTTACAAAACTGAAATAATAAATAATAGAAATATAATTAAAAAATAATTTTAAATGTTATTTGCATGTACAATTTTGGACTTTTAATACAGCGGACATATTGTCATTGGACAATTAATTACTCGGATAATTTGTCTACGGACATTTAATTACATGGACATTTTGTCACTTGGACATTTTAATTCTTTGGACCTTTTGGATTGGCCATTTTGGTTTGGACATTTTGACCCCCTACCGATTTTAATATATTCTTATAATTGTTTATTTTAATTCTACCAATTATCGATCAATGTTGCAAGTATTGTTTTAATATTTGTGTGCGGAACCCGCCATTGCAGTGCGAGTACAACTCGCACTTGTCCAATTTTTTTTTTGATTTATTTGTGTTTTTATTTAACTTGCCCTTTTACAATTTTATTTTTTGACCTTTATATATATATTTAATTGATTCATTTCTGTTTTCTATGTCCGTTTACAATTTTATTTTTTAACTTTTTAACATTTGTTCTTTTATTCTTTGACATTAAAATAGTTTAAAATTTTAACTATTAACGCAGGAGAACCGCAGAGAATAAACTAAGTCGCACCAGCGACAGAGTTGGAGCGCCACCCTCGAAGGCTAAAGTCTTGCGACAGTTCCGAGGGTGGGTGAAGGGCTTCAAAAGAAGGGTTACGGGTTTTAGTGGGTCGGGGCTGGCAGTAGGTCGCCAGCTTACTAAACAATTTTATAATTGATCTTTATCTTATACTCTTTCCTTTTATTTTACCAACCCCACATAACCTTGGAATTATGATTAGAATATCGTGGCCCTGAAAAGGGCCGATTGATCTTTAAACAAGCTTCAACTTGTTTTAAGTTTTGTTTACAGCACAAACAGCTAGATAATTAATTCTTTGAAGCGTTGTATTTCTTTATAGCTCTGTCTGCATTCAAAATGGCAAATTTTAAAATTTTGCCAGTAAGCAAAAGTTTAACGGCGTTTTTAATTTCTCTTGAATTTATGGTTTTCTCCGTCGAATATTTTGCAAACAAAGAAGCTTCATTTACAATCATCTCAAATATGTGGTTCATAGTTAAATTCATGATGTTCATGGCCTTGCTTCACATTCCGACATCATTGTGAATTTGCTTCAGAACCTTGTAAATGTTGTTCCTATAGCTTCCTTTTCCATTGATGCTCTTTTATTTTTTTTCCTTATATTTGAAGACTTCTTTTCACCATCATGGACTGCTTTCGACGTCATTATGGTTAAACCTAAATTCTGCGAACGAATAGTTTTCTTCTCGAAGCACAAAACGTTGTGCTCCTCTCTCTAGCTCCCTTCTGCTACTGCCATGAATGACAGCCAACAGGTCATCCGCATAGGCCACAAGCTTTACACCCTCGCCCTCGAGCCTATTTAAAATAATTTAAACTTGATGAAGAAGTTTTTCAAGATTGAAAATCATATAAATTTTTTACAAATACCTGAGTATTTTATAAAATATACCTAAACATTTTAATGAAAAATCCCGATAGCTTCAATAGTCCAGCACTTTTTTATAGTTTTGTATATTGTATATTAATAATATAAATTTGGTAAAAAAATCTCAAAACATGGAAAACATGACAAATTGTTTTATTTTCAAGAAACTGTTATAAAGTTTATGTTGTTTCTTTTTAAAAACAAACTTTTCTTGTTTGCAATGATACATTAAAATATTTATCAAATTTAAAAAAACCACAAGGTTTCTAAAAGTTGTGTGTAAATAAAAACCACAAGGTTTTTGTTTGAACTTCACGGAGAAAAAAGATTGTTAATATAGAACTAAGTGATATCGTTTTTTGTTTTAAATTAGAGTTTGCAACATATAATGGGGTTAAAAAGTTCCAGTACATTCGTACTTATTACGTATAAATTCTCTTTTTAATTCAATACAATCATTTCTGTAAAAAGAGATGTAAGAACAATCAAACTAAGATGCATTTAAAAATTAAATAAATTAAGAGTTAATTAATAGGCTAAGGTACAACCAATTTTATAATGTAAATATTTATAATATATTTCTTGAACGTTAAGAGGTTAATTCATTAAACAAGAGAACGGAAATGACGAATTCGCAATTATATCCTGCTTTGATAGCTCTTACACCTATTTTTATAGAAATATTTGATTTTGAAGTGAAGCGAGCATATAAAAGTAATCATTACTGGAAGTTTTTGACCCCAGTGTAACAAATTTGCTTTGTTAGCTTATTAATAATGTAAATTTTTTCTAAATAATTTGTTAGTTCTATATTAATAATTTTTTTTCTATAATAATAATCTAAACCTTTAATAAAAAGTTCTTAAGATAGATGTGTACTCCATGCGACATAACGGACAAACTCTTTCTGGCTGTTCGGAGTATATTTCTTTGCACAATGAGCAAATATTTCAGTGTCCGCAAGGAACAAATGCGAACTGAGGAGCATTTACATTACAAATACAGCATGTATTCACCCTTGGTCTACCATTCCCATCCGTATTAAATATTTTCATAACCATAACACATAAAGATATCGATAATTTCATGTTTTATAATAATTAAAGATGGCAAATTGGTAAAATCATTATTTTACATTATAAGAATATTGTACTTCTTCAAAATTATTCCCGTCATTTTAATTAAATTATTATTATCAAGAATTTTTAACAAAATTCTTTTTTTTATTAATTAAATTTCGGACAATTTTTTTGCCAATTTTCAAAATCCAATTAGTTTAA